AAACTCATTCTTACCTTTTCCCCAAGCATTGCTATATCCTGAAATGCTTTTAAAGACCAGAAGCAGGATTGATGCAGTAGCAGCTCCAAACACGCACATGATGGCCAGGCGGTCATGATCCATGCCAAGGAAGTCTATAGGCCTACATGCACAGGATGTAATTTAATTAACCCATTGAATAGCAGCACGACTTCCCCGGCCGCCTTATTGATGAGAAAAATTGTTTGGCATTTATAGACGGAGAAAGATTGTCTGGCGTTAGACAAGAATAAGATGATATAGTATGGCGCTCTGGTTTGCGCACCGGAGCGCAATGCAATTTAATGAGTTATTTACACATTGAGTGGCAGCACTCTTACCTTGACGAGTACAATCGTCTGGTGGGCCGGTGGCCACAACCAGCCAATTACGACTGATGCAACTTATACTGTCTACCTGACTGTCAGACAATAGACAATCCAGAAGACAGACATATTTACGGTTTCCACGACCACTGATTACTGCCTCGGGAGAAGCCCAGAGTTTGTGTACATTTGTTAAGAAATAATAGTAATACGGTGTGCAAAAATCCTATAATCAATCAATCAATCAATCAATCAATCAAGTATTGCTGAAATTCCACACTATTACTGTCGTTCCAACTGAAGTGTTCCCCGAATATTGATTCAATACATTACCTCAGGTTGACCAATTCGTTTCATCAAGTTCCTCGAGATATTCATACACTTCCTGTGAAAGAGCCAATTCCAAGTATCTGATCATTTCTGGTCACTTCCTTTCTATTTATGATTGGTTAGTTGCACAAACAACAAAGGTGATTGGTGCATTCAAACTATTCAACAGGAAGTTTACAATTATACTAGGAAGTGTATGAATATCTCGAGGAACTTGATGAAATGAATTGGTCAGCCTGAGGTAATGTATTGAATCAATATTTGAGGAACACTTCAATTGGAACGACAGTAATTATTTAGCTTGATACAGGTTGAATACAGAAATGTCCAATAAACCCGATCGATGAAGAAATTTTTTGGCAGAATGATATTATCAACCCAGCGTCCGGCCTGCCGGGGCTGAATAATTAAATACCTTTTTCCAGAAAGCGGTATCAATTTCGTGCGTATACAGCTATTTCAATTAAGGTTGTCCACGAGCAAAGCGGAAAAGTCGAATACGAGCGCGAAAGGCTGCTGGGAATCGCTTTGAAAATTCATTAATTTGTTAGCGATTCCCAGCAGCCTTTCGCGCTCGTATTCGACTTTTCCGCTTTGCTCGTGGACAACCTTAATTGAAATATGCTTGTGATGTTACTTTGAGTGTATATTCACACCGGGCAAGCTTGAAAAATATGCCTGACCACGGTGGGAATCGAACCTACGACCTTTGGAATACTAGCCCAATGCTCTACCAATTGAGCTACGCGGTCTGGTCGGTTCGAGTATGTGATATTTCGGAACAAAATCTAGTTCCTTCGATATCAATGTAACCTAGTAATAATGATATTTTCTGTGTTGGTGCAATGTACTCAGGTGAATAAGATGCTTGTGATGTTACTCTGAGTGTATATCCAGGCAGGCATATTTTTCAAGCTTGCCCGGTGTGGATATACACTCAGAGTAACGTCACAAGCATCTTATTCACCTGAGTACATTGCACCAACACAGAAAATATCTTAATTGAAATAGCTGTATAGACCCATTGCACATGACGTCACAGCGCCAGTAACGATGCATCTGGAGGACAAATTAGCAATCTACGCATAATATAACTTTTGTAAACAAAGCAAATTTTGTAAAAGTTTATAATAATTTTGTATTAAAAAGGTTATTGTTAGATATTGTTAGAGAGCATTTGTGACGTCAGTGCAAAGGGTCTACACAAAATGACTGAAAAACGGCAAACTTCGCAGGGCTGTTGTATTATCCTCATTTTACAACATTTTGCAACGAAACTTCGGAATATTACTAATTTTGTGATGCTCTTTCAAGCTGTGATAAATTTTTTGTCTAGACATGTAAAGATCAAAGTTTTGTTAATTAGGTAATAGGTCGATTAATAAGGCGTGTGTTTAGAATATATAATCTTTAGTATTCTATAACAGTTTAAATCTAATTCCCTCAAAATGCAGGAAATGCCATTTAAGACTAAGAGACTTTCTTTTTTCGTTTCTTTTTCAGAGAACAATTCAGTTGGTGGTTTTAATAACCCATTGGTTGCATTAATTGCCCCCCCAATTAATGCCACCCTATAGCTACTGTAGCTTGTAAATAAGCTAGTAATTTATTATTTTACTCTGTCTAATGCCAGACGATTTTACTCATCAAGGGAGAGCGCTGACGCTCAATGGGATAATAACATTCGGCTCGTCGTCACCACAAATGCCCCCAGTCTTTATTATTTTACTGCCATTATGCTAGATAATTTTACTCTTCAATTGGAGCATTATTGCTCATTAATGGATTGATTGTCTAAAAGACAGACGTATGTAATTAGATTGACACTCAATTAGGTGACATGTCTGTCAGGAATGTTTATAATAATTTATACTGTCTTAAGGCCATGTTACACAGTGCATTTGTTCTTGCAACTTGCAATGCAATTCTACTCTTGAGAGATGTAAAATTGCCAAATACGAGTCTTCATTATACTCCGCTGATGTTTTCTCAACATATCGAAAATTCTTCACTGATTTCACTAATTAACATCTCTCAAGAGTAGAACTGCATTGCAAGTTGCAAGAAAAATGGCCTTAACACTCACACAACAATTCCAGGTCGACCTCCCCAAACTTCTTTCTTAAAACTTCTTCTTTGTTGTAAAAATGCCAATATGGCAATAATTATTCCCTAAAATAGATTTTCCATTTTAGTTATCAATGATATACATGTGCAAAGACTGTAGTAATAATTAAAACGGTTTTTCTTCAGATGGAGGAAATTAGCTATTAATTTAAGCTCGCAGTAGCAGCTGACTCAGTCAGGGTGATTGAGTCCCTTAATTAAATAGTGAGCTTAACCCATTAAGCCGCAAATTTGAGACAATTTTACTCGTCAGTGGGGAAGCAGTCTGCAGCTTAATGGGTTAACCAAAAACAGTGTCTCTATAGTTAATCCATTGACAATGTCTCTAGTAGTTAACGTCCACCGAAGCACGAGAACGAACGAATAGCCTCATTAACTGAACGACTGTACCGTCCACATTCGTTCAACTGAACGGTTTCAATTGGCTGAGACAAATTTAATTAGCATATTCGTTGCGTTAGTTGAGCTATCGTGTTAAAATTCTTTGTGATCAGCTGTGTAAATATTTCTATTCGTATGAAGCAATTTGCTGCATGAGTACGTACAGATTGTATAGAAAAAGTCCACATTTTCAGATTCAAATTTTGAAAGAGTGCACTGTTGTTAAACTAAATGCAATTTCGTATGCGCATGCATGTGTGATTAATTAAAGTGATTTGAGCTTCTGTTTGTTGAGGAGGTAAAACGAAATATGGCAGACGACGTTGAGGTCATAAATATAGTACTCGTAAATCTTCAGAATGCTGTTCACGCAATATATTCAATTTATATACCTGTAATCCATGCGGCCATAGAAGAGGCAACAGGTCAGAGAGAAATAATTGACGAAGATGAATTGAATGCTTTATTTGCCTGTATCAGGCAGCTCTATGCGCTGCTCAGTTTAATAGCAATTAACGTGCGCTCAGTCCATTTTACAAAGAGCTCGCACTGAACAAATTCTAAACCCCGACTTCGTTGGTTCACATTTCCCGAGAAGAGATTTCTGCAGCGACTTAGAAAGGTGTGAGCATTTGTTTTGGTCGATGACAAGCGAGAACGTGGAATCGTTTCGTCAACTGGTAGTACTGGTGCACGACATGCTGCCGTATTTACTCTCTTTGTTCTCTTGCAATAAAATCGCGAAGTCTTCTTCTTGCTGCACGTCGATTTCCAACATTAGCATAGAGCTCCTGCACATTGGCAGGAATCTCACGAAATCTCTCATGCCTCACGATATCGTTCGCTATCATGTCCCAGATCGGACCGATCTCCATATACCGCTCATGAATCACGGCTCGTTCCACCTCGCCTATACGTCTTACTTGTCTTGGAAGCATTATTGAAACTATGGACTATGGTTTACGCGTACGTTATAACGCTAAGTTTGAAAGGCATGTAAAAGCATGCCATTGATATGGATTACCTATGGACCAAGTAACCCCACAGATTTCCCATAGGATTAATGGCAATGTGTTTGTTTCCATAGCTTTTCCATATCTCAATATTTAACAAATTTAGACACCATACCAATCCCACATGATATCTATACTGTCCCATATCATGCCCACATATGGGTCATATATGGCCCAAACTTTGCCATATCTTTCCCATACTTTTGCTTTGGTAAGGGCATATAACCAATTCTATGGGAATTATATGGTAGTCCACACTTGGTTGTCCCATATACTTCCCATACCTATGGGAATTATATGGTAGTACACACTTGGTTGTCCCATATAATTCCCATATATGGGAATTATATGGTAGTCCACACTTGGTTGTGCCATATACTTCCCAAATCTATGGGAATTATATGGAGTCTGAACTTGGTGTGGTTCTGGCCTCCAATAGAGAATCCCATACATATGCATATGATTTCTATGGCAAATTATGCTATGCCAACACTTACGAAAATTTCCTATAGGAATTCCTATAAGAAATGAAATTCCTATAGGATTTGAAAATTCCTATAAGAATTCATATAAGATTTGAAAATGGTTAAAAAATTCCTTTAGGAAAACGAAATTCCTATATATATACTAATATACATATAGGAAATAAAAATTCCTATAGGAATTCCTATAGGATTGGAAAATAAATTTATTCTAACATTAATAAATGAATAATTACCGCAATGTGCGCGACCAACAGACTGGTGTCTAGTTTTTTGCCACACGCACAAAGCATCTTGGGATAGGTCATCACACCTCCGATATTTTATAAATTTTTTGTTTGTGAATGCTTTATATGTTCAAAATAGAACTATTTTTGATGAGATTCAACTGGATTTTCACTAGTAATACATCAGCGATGTTTGTATAATGTTCAGGTGAGCATATGTTTATATTTTGTTTATAATAAAGCAAATTATAAAGGAATACCTAATCCAATATTCATTCGTGAAATTCGAGCATGTGTTTCGATCAGTTTAAAATTTGAATTTGCCGCGACAATAATGGATTAGAACGCTGATATAAATATATTTATCTGTCTTTTATACTTCAACAAGACGCCTGCTCAGGCGTTCACACTGGCCTGAAAATAACGAGATACGTGCTATGGTGCAAAAGGCAGGAATACAAATCTTAAACCGCAAGCAAATTTTATGGACTTTTTAAAAAAATAAAAGACCTTTTCGGGAGACGTAATGGAGCTCGATGCACGTGCAAATCATGCCGACCTACAGAATCGATTTCCGGTTTTTCCTAACAGCGCGTTGTTTTCATGTGCGTTCCATGGGCCGTGCTAAAAATATAAATATTCTGTAAACACCGAAATAAAAGATGAGAATCTCAAGACACAAACTTGAAAACAACACTATAAATAATGTTTTCGATTCTGGTTCCAATAACATTATCACGAAAAAGATATGTCCAAAGGGGCCGAAGTTATGTTCGGCAAAATGTATGGCTAGTTTACATTGTTGTATTATGAAATATGATACCATACTTGTATTAAAATTCGCGTCGAACTAATGTTATTGTAAATGAGTAGACTTGCCACAAGTCGACCTCGAACGAAATGCGTTTCTTCGAGGTCGACTTGTGGCAAGTCTAGCAAATGAGAACCATACAAATGATACAATAATGGTTCTAGTTCTTGTTGGTATTTTGAACGCACGCTTTATCTTTCAGTATAGCTACCACAAAGCTTTTCGTGCGGATTATATTTCGTGGAGTACTAAATATTATATTTTGTGGTTTTCGAGTCATTACACAAAGAAAAACACATTAATTCAACACGCAAGAAAGTCCAGAGTACGACACAACGTAAAATACATAGGAAACCGGCACAATTCTTTGAAAATTCAACGAAACTGTGTAAAATATAGTTTGATCACTCTGTGAAAAGCTGCCATTACAGTTCGGAATTGTGCGCGTGTGTACAAGTGTATAGGCTAATAAACGAAAAATGTACCACAAGCATGGCATGAGTCGGCTAGTACGTACATAAATACGTAATTTGTTGCTATTGTACTTGAATCATGGAACGGAGGGAATCGATGGCATTTTGGCTTAATCGTTGCACCTTGAGCCTGCGATGCGCTAACGCAAACTCGATTTCTCGACTACGAAAAAAACAGAAAAAGAGGGATTTAAGACACTTGGCCTACAGGCCAGTGTAATAAATGCTGCTATAAGAGTTTTATATTTGAATTAGACTTTTCAATGTTTATTGGTTAATATATTTGTATATGCTATAAACTGTATATGCATGGTTAATTGCAGACATTAAGCATGCCTATACATAGACTATATAGTACTATATGCTCATATTACATATAGTTTGAAAATTTATCTACTTGCTCAAATCAGCAGCAACCTTCCTAAGATTCTGATATCAAATTAAAATTGATATTTCATTGGGAGAGGTGTAATTGCACCAGTCAATATGAATTAAAATATGTTAGCCTTAGTGTAATGCCAGGAAAATTCTCCATATTTTTTATGAAATTAACATTTAACTATGTGATGGTATATTCAAGTTAACGAGACTCTTTACTTACATTTCACACTAACTCGTTAGGATGAATATGCTCAACTTTCAGTACTTTTTTATTTTACCTTGTCTAACACCAGATCAAATATTTTACTTGTGAAAGAGAGTGGAATACTTTGATAGGTTATGTTGCTCGGTGGCGTAACGTTATATCAAGGGGCCCCCGGTTCAAACTTTTCGAAGGCCCCCCTAGTAAAATTGCCAGAGCCACAAGTCGAGCGCCATATATGCACAAGTTTTCTAGTGGGTCCAGAGCATGCTCACCCAGAAAATATTTGAATCTAGACTCTCTGAAATGCCATTTCCCAGACTTTGGGGAGAGATTTTACAGAATTCTGATGGTCAGAGAATGGCATTGTTGCTCTATAGGCTATAGCCTGAGCCTGGGGGCCCCCGTTGGGGTTGGGGGCCCCGGGTTCTCCCGATCCGAGCCCATAGTAGTTACGCCACTGATCTCGCTGTCCCCCTGTGTTATGTGTAAACTCATTAAGACCCAATTCACACTAATCTGCTCTATTTCAAAGCCTGTCTAACACCAGACTATTTTGCATTGTTTGTTGTTAACACATTTAGATGCAATTCATCCTAACACTCCCCACTTTCAGTACTTTGATAGTTAATTATCAGATGATTTTACTCATCAAGATGAGTGTTGGTTATTGAAAGGTTAATAATTAACTGCAAAAGCTGCTGTGTTGGCATATTTAGAAGCAATGTGCCTTACTTTTAGTCCTTTGTTATTTTATTAAATATTTGTTCCATTAATGTTCCAGACTCTCCACTTAACAAATAAAATTGTCTGTCATTAGACATATAGTAAAACATAATGATTTGGCATTTGACAGAGTACAGTTGTTTTCCGTTAGACAGAGTAAAATAATAAATTTGGTGCAAAAATGCTTGATGGAAATTTGGCTGCAGAATATAGGGTATAAATTTTCTGTCAGTATAATCATTTTTGTCAAATCTGGCAAAATCTTGACGTTTGAATTATTTCGTCCTGCAGATGATAGAAGTTGTAGAAGGATCTGTCATGTTCTGGAATTGCCACCAGTGGGCATATTGCTCTGCAAGATTTTCTAATGAAGGCCCTGCACCAAGTCAGGTGATACAAAAAATAAACATGAAAAGTGTAGAAGCCAGGCGTCCACAAAGAGTTTGAATAGTCTGTAATCAAGCCCACAAGTTGAGAGGACTGAGGACATTATAGATACCGATACATTTATATAGATCAATAAGCACTTAGCAATTGACATTATTGCATGTTTGTATATATAGTTATACCATGGTAATTTAGTTAGACAAACTTTGCAAGTTCATTAAGAAATAGTAAATTAGTTAGCAATTTTGTAATTATGTGTTTATTTATTAACTATGTTATTTATTTGTGTATTGTGTTTTTGAAGATTTTTTGCATGTTAATAAAACTATGTATGCCACCAGTACAATTTTCTTGAGCTGTAGCAAGTATATTTGGAATGGTATGGCCACTTGTTTTCATCCCATACCAAACTTAACATGGGTTTGGTATGGGATGAAAACAAGTGCCCATACCATTCCCAATATAATATGATAATTGTTGCACCCATATCATTCCCATAGTTTATACATCAAGAACCATATGAATTCCATATCATGTTCCCAGATCATTCCCATATAGAATGCTATCTTACCCATAGCAAAGTTGTTATGAAATGATATAAGGAACCCATGTATTTCCCATAGTAAGTGATATGGGATATGTATGGATTTGTACCAAATACGTATCAAACCCATATCAAAAACATGATATGGCTATGCTATGAAGGCAACCAGGCCACACCAAAGCCATATACTTCCCATATATGGCCCATAGGTTGAACCATATCAATCCCATAGGTTGAACCATATCAATCCCATAGTTTATACATCAAGAACCATATGAATTCCATATCACGTTCCCAGATCATTCCCATATAGAATCCTATCTTACCCATAGCAAAGTTGTTATGAAATGGTATAAGGAACCCATGTATTTCCCATAGTAAGTCATATGGGATATGTATGGATTTGTACCAAATACGTATCAAACCCATATCAAAAACATGATATGGGTATGCTATGAAGGCAACCAGGCCATACCAAAGCCATATAACTTCCATATATGGCCCATAGGTTGAACCATATCAATCCCATAGTTTATACATCAAGAACCATATGAATTCCATATCATGTAAATTCCCAGATCATTCCCATATAGAATCCTATCTTACCCATAGCAAAGTTGTTATGAAATGGTATAAGGAACCCATGTATTTCCCATAGTAAGTCATATGGGATATGTATGGATTTGTACCAAATACGTATCAAACCCATATCAAAAACATGATATGGGTATGCTATGAAGGCAACCAGGCCACACCAAAGCCATATACTTCCCATATATGGCCCATAGGTTGAACCATATCAATCCCATAGTTGGTCCATATATGTCCCATATAATTTGGTTTTGTAAGGGCTGTAACAGTTCTTCTTACAAAAGTAATCAAAGGTCTGACCTCGCAGCTACAAGGAAAACTGACGATCTTATACACCAGCTAACGATCTAACAAGCAAACGACTAAATAAAATGTTCAAATAGTTTTAGCTAAGTATTTTTATAATCATACAAAGTTGTCATAGATTTTTTAAACTTCTTTGCAGTGTTGTGCTTGTTACGGACCTGCGGGCGGAACGAAAGATTACTGTGCCGAAAATTGTCAAGCAATTAACGGTGGTACAATCACAAAAAACGTATTTACGTGGTTCTGGGTCAGGTCCAGTCTTCCTAAAAGATTGTGGAAGAAATGTATGGATTATGAAGTGAAACGAGATGATGGGACATTGATCTGGTATAAGCTGGTTGGCCATAATGTTATTCCTATTGAGGTAATTTCTTTCTTTATTTTTGACATGATTGATATATAAAACCTAGTGAGCTCTATATAATATATCTGGAGTGAGAATTCGAGTTCAAAAGGTGAAGGCAGGTTCGTGTTAACCGTGCAAACAAAATCAATAGAAAGGGCTGGAACTGACGTAGAATAGTTCCTTCAATTTCCGACATCTTGGCAAGGAGTTTGCGGCCGAAATTTCCTATTTTGACATCGATTTAAGGAGTAACACTATAGTTTTATAAACTGTTAACTTGGTTAACGATACTGTTCCTTGGAAAAAAACTTAAATTAGCTGTGAAAAGTTGTATAAAAACTGTTTACGACCTACAGAGCTATTGGACGTCAATGGCCGCCATCTTGGGGTCACTTTTCTCATAGGCCGAATGACTGAAGTTCTTGCAGATATATTTGGAGCTCACCCATATAAAACCTCGTATATCAAGGGTGTTGAGTGAGAGTGATGGGCCCATGTGACTTTAAACATCTTCCACCGGAGTTTGCATGATTCCTATAAGGCTGTCTCATTGTAAATATAGTCTCACATAGTTCTTGTGGCTGTGAGAGATGTGCTTTTATTTTGATCGGTTCCACCAAGCACCGAAGGTTTAATTTTCTCCTATGAGATAAACTTATATTGGACGTACTTAATAAGGAAAAGAACTTACAAACGGAAAAACATCCAATTTACACAGTCAGTAATTGTTAAAAATATGGTCAACGTCAGACATAAAATATATTACAGTTTCGTATCAAAACAATTCTGACAAAATATATTAAAACCTTTTGTTAAAGGGTCGCTGTAGCAAGGACGCAGTACTTCTCCATGATGGTGTAAGTATTTTGGCAACTTATTTATATCACCTGCATGCGTGGCTCGTAAAATAAGATTATATGGAGAGTTGAACCAAGTAGAAATGGTGTGTACCAAAGAGTGCCCTGGCTGTACATCATTTCTATCTTAATTTGTTCTTCTTAGCAAATTTAGCAATAACTGTTATATAAAGGTTATAATATAATTATATTTAATGGTGTGCTTCGCTAATTTGAAAATTTACAGCTGGCTGCATGCCTTCCGATTGTAGCTATAGTATCTGACAAACGGCTGCAAACCAGAGCCAGATTTTCATGGTATTTGAAAAAATCGTTAACAAGATCGAATATGCAGGATAACAATTCCAGATCGCCTGTCATTGTATACTGTAATTAAAGAACATTGTCTATACTCTTTACCAAAGCTTTCTCGTTAGAACTGGCATTAGTCGAAGAGAAATATTTTGCCGTTTGTGATTGGAAGCTTTCATTTCGATACATCTTTCAATTTGGGTGAATACTTGTCTACAGTGCACAAACGAGTCTGCATAGACGCGGTAATATCCTGCGACTGATTTAGTTTAGCTTAATGAGTTCACCATTATTATATAACAATGCAATTATGCAAAAGGAGTAATTGCGGTACATGCAACAGTATGGCAAAAGAAAAGAAATGGACCCATCGTCCCATGCAATTGTCATATACATCTTATACCCCTCAATCAACACCTTAACGCCTTGATTGTCTATGTTTGTAGGCAATTCCTACAGTCATTTAATGTAGCAAAATCAAAATCCTTATTCGTCATGCAAATTATGATAATTAAAAATGTATTCATCACAATTTTAAAATATTTTAATAAGGGCAATGTCTCCCTGCTTGCCTATTCTGACGTTGATTATTATTGTGGTCGCCTATATCAGAATACGTTTCAACTTCTGTTTCCGAATCTTCCGATCAACACTAAAATAATACTGACTTTCTTCACACTATTAATACCGCAAAATATTGCTATTATAAATCTGAATTGTACTAATTCGATTCTGTCTTGTTTGAGATTGTGGTCGTACCGGACTCTAAAACCGCGCAAAAGGTGGCAGGCATTGACGGATTACTAGAGTACCGCAAGGACAAACAAGAACTTTATATAAGATCAAACAAAACATGGAATGTGTTAGCACAAAAGAACGAGGTAGGTTGCTACATATATTTCATGTAATTCTTAAATCATGTCAAAATAGTTAAACTTGGTTAATTATTTCAATTATTCGACCTCGAATGCCAGCATAGGTAGCGATGAGAACAAACAGCAATCTTTATAGGAAATACAACTATACCTGATAAATATAAACAGAACCTCGACGTTCACTAGTGAAAAGCACATGTAATTTTCCCGATTCACGATACAAACTTCTCAACGAGCTTTTCATCGAAGTTCTGTCTATTTGTTGCTGGTTGAGTTGTGTGTATTTAGGGTAATCGTTATGTTAAGTATTCGCTTAGTAAATAAGATTTACATCGGCTGCTCTTTTTTGTATACCAAAAACATACGTAGTATGCTTCCAAACACTTCGTTACCTGCTTGGTCCAAACAAAAACACGCGCTCTATAAGTATATATACGTAATTGTTTTTGTTTGTGGAAACACCACGTAAATTTATTACTGCAAAGCTTTCGATCCGTAAGCCCGGATCTTCATCAATGCTAATAATATGAAACATATTTTTAAATATAAACATATTATTAGCACTGATGAAGATCCGGGCTTACGGATCGAAAGCTTTGCAGTAATAAATTTACGTGGTGTTTCCACAAACAAAAACAATTATATTTTATCGCCATGCAAACATTCAAAGAACTTATATATACGTAATTAGCACTTTATATTATGGGAAGCTAATTTTTTTAGATTCTTCAAGAGACATCAGAAGTAGATTCGAAGCTGAACAATGTCGATCAAAAGCTCTCAAAACAAATTCAAACAGTGAGTCTGATAGACTTGATAGCATAGAAAAAAATGCGGATAGAGTAGAATCCCTATTAAAGGCGCCTCTATTAACGGAAACCCGGCCCTCTAGCTTAAGCGGACGCATACCTCCATGCAGTCCCAATGATTTCTTTAACAAAATACTATTATTATCACCCCTATTAATTAGTAGCGGACATCATAAACGCTAATAACTTGAAGTAATTTCCTAAAACAAACTTTTCTATCGTTAATTTGTCTTTCAAGCCATTGCAAGAAAAACTGTCCGCTTGTATAGCTATTGAACTCGTCGCGTAACCAGCTTCCACACCATAACCAGCTCCTCCGTTGGCACGTTTATACCTTTGATTACTTCTGTTCCTAAATTAGTTGGACGTTACCCCCTGCTGTGTTCGCTGTTGCAAAACCCTATTAAGCGGACACATATATTGGTGAGGTCCCGAAGGTGCATGTCCGCTTAAAATAAGGGTTCGGCTGTATACGTAATATATACATTGTCCGCTAACGCACAATTTTGTACCCAGTATGCCCTTCCCAGGATAGGTGATGGACATGCCCACTGCTTAAACTTACTCTGGCTATGTAATTGGTCCATGTAATTGGTCCATACGCGTCCTTGGAAGAACGAAATGTAGTTGTGAATGTAAAACACTGGTGCTTCATCTGATTAATAAAATTGTTCTTTTCCATCCGACGTAACATCATTACATAGCAACTCAGTGCAGTATTCTAAGGTTAATTGGGCAGTTTTATTTTAAAACACAATATGTTGGTTACCTAAACATGATCCAAAAAAATCCTACATTTTTATAAATACTTTGTTTGAACCCAAAATTTTTAGATTCTTCAAGAGACATTACAAGTAGATTCCTAGCTGACGATATCGATCAAAAACTCTCAAAACAAATTAAATCAAACAGTATAAGTCTGATAGGCTTGATAGTATATATAGAAACAATATACGTACATATGTATATATTGCACGCACAATTTCGTACCCAGAGTTTGTCCGTTTCCAGGATATAGGTCATGCATGGGTATGCCAACATATACCCATGTCCTACAAACAGAAACACGTGCATGTATACGATGCCTTTTTCCCCGCTACGGCTGTTTTATTTTGCTCCTTTGTCAGATTTCAAAATTCCACGCATACCCTCGTTCAACTCATGCATATATATATAGCTACAATCATGCATGCATGGCAATAATTCCGTGGGCACTTTGCCGGCTGTAAACTATAAAGTATTACTCTTCATATACACACATATATTGGCATTTTTGTATATACATAATTGTTGGTTTTGAAATCGTGATTCACGAAGCTTTAAGCTAACCGACTTATTGTATAAGCTTTCAACATTGACGGGGGATCAGGGGGAGATTGGAAATTACTGTTTTTGTAAGGATATATTTGGGCATTGCACGTAGCCATATTTTTACCGCTTATACACACAATAATTTTTGTCAGAATTGTAGAAACCCTTGGGAGACCTTGTAGACTGCATGTTGTAAAGACATCGCCAATTTTATTTTGTCGTCTTCAGTTATTGCTTGCAAACTGAGCTAATTAATAAATGTGAACAGTTAGACCATCATATCGGAATTATCGTCGTTCGTTTGTACAGTATATGATAAGCCAGATAATTAGGTGGCGATTAAATTATGTTCTTATATTTCAGATGGATCTACAACTTGTGGAATTTGAAAAGAAAATTAACAAGTTAATGAACTTCGGCTTTAAACGTGAGTATTGCTATATTTTCACCAGTAATTCTGGTCCATTTAATAATTGAAAGGAAAACATAGCATAGACTAATTGATCTAGCTGTGCTTTCTGTATATCTCAATTAATCCTTTCTTATTGAACATTTACAGCCACTAGGCAAGAATGCAGCAATTATACATTGCTTGATAACAAAGATCGAAACATAAAGTACAGAAGTGGCAAGAGTTCGTTGTTGTGTGACAGTGGCATTTCAACCGGATGGTACAGATTTGGTGGTGATGCTGGAACTCAGTTGTCTACTACTTGTGTTCCGAGAATTAGAGACACAAACAATTTAAAATGTCGTACTCATTGTGTTTCATGGTTGAATGGCACTCATCCTTCTGTGGGTGATGGAAAAGTCACACGCAGGGTGTGCTTCAGTTGGGCTGGCAAATGTTGTTTTGCGAACACGAAGACATATATCGAAGTAATCAACTGTGGATTTTTTTATATCTACAAACTGGTCTCTCCACCCTCTTGCTCTTACAGATACTGTGGAACTGACGTGTGAATTCTAAAATGAAATAATAAAACCTCGAATGTTTTCTTAAAATTGATTGGGTTATTGTAATTTTGAGCATCTGTCATGATGCAATTTTTATGTAAGGGGGTTAAGGGAAGTATAGTTTGAATAAAATATATAGTCCAGGTTCTACTTTCATTTATAGAACCACCATAGAAAAATTGCGTAGTATTAATCTTTTGAGACTTGTCAAGCTAATTGATGAATGATGGTATTTTCAAACTTGTTACAAGGTCAATGTTGTTTTAAGTCCTATAGGCGATACAGTCATGATACAGTACATGAGTTGAAATTTACAAAGAAACGATGTTTACCAGGGGCCCCTATTTATCCACCTATCATCATCCACAAAATATGTTGACAGTTTTGGAATCCACTCCCCCTTCCTCCTATTTCAATGTTGAAGGGCTATTATTGTCGTTCTATAGAAAAAGTAATGTGACACTAGCTAAAAGCGCAACAGTCTAAGCAACATTGAAATTAGGGGAAGTGGGTTTGTCTCAAATATTTTGTGGACGATTGTAGTAACGACAGTAACGTATTTTATATTTTTTGTTATAAAATTTGACTGCAAATATTTTGATTTCAACACCTAGGGGACTGTATATATAGTTCACAAATATCAGGATTTTCATATAAAATTGATTTCATCTACACTCGGTATGCAGCGGGAAACGACAAAACACGGACAGGTCCGCGGACTACCTTCGTGCACCACGAGAGTGGTCCGTGGTCCACGAGTGTAGTCCACGGACCAGGTGCACTATACATATGTATATATTATAAATGTATAAAATTCACTTTCCAAATTTCCATCTACAAAACCCATTTTAAGTCACATGCCTTTTTGGTGTCTAGAGACTTCTTGGCCTTATCTTGCTTATTATTTGTACATTACACAATATTACACCCTTCGTGTCAATATTATAATGGCAAAGCAATGAACAAAATTAAAAAAAATATAAAGACAAAAACAAATAATCATTTATCGGACATGAAGAGCCATCCTTACATGACGTATTCCCCGGGTCGAAAAAACAAGATGGCGACGAACGAAGAGTTGGCAGAATTTATAAACAATCATAAATCGCAATTATTAAGTTGTGGAATTCCTAAACTCTACTGGAATACGTTGTGCGAGAAACTTAAGCAAGAGGTAGACTGATTTAGTGCTTTTTAGTGTCAATTCAGTGCCGTTTAGAAGTAAATACAATTTTAATATACGGTACAAATACAAATATTTATAGAAGTATGATATGTGCGAAAAATCCGCGCTGCTGCAAACAGAGCGAAGTGATACCAATCTTGAACGGTCTGAACCAGTGTAGGTAGTGCCAACAATATCACGCTTTCATTGGTAGGGATGCAACTAACCTGAAAATACAAGGAGAAATTCGAGCGAAGGGTCAGTTTCGCACCCATTCACAACTTTGGATATAAACTTAATACATGCCTAGTTACTATAATAATCTGAATGACTGAATAACTCTTATACATAAATCAAATCTACCTTTGTTCTAGCCTATGCTCTGGTACACTAGAACAATAGTAACTATAGGCATGTGGGTTATCCAAAGTTGTGATTTCGGTGGCAACGATGTAAACAAATGTTAGCTCTACATTCTGTCCATAATTTCCAATGCCTGTATAGTAACATTGTCTGACGTTGCCCACAACTTTACAGAATTAGAAGTGATTCAAAGCAGCTTAAATACAGGTGACGAAAAACATGCCTCGCAAAAGAAGTGTGTTGTTCCAGAAAAGTTCCACACTCCCCTTATTACGGAGGAAATATGTGATGCATTGAGAGGGGAAATATACTTATAGTAATAGTAAAAGTTGTAGCATATCGAAGGGGATTAAATTTTAATTTTGTTGGGGGGTGGGTTAAGTATTTGGAGGGCATTAGGGAAAGAATACTGCGAAATATATAAATATATACTGCTTTTGTTAATTTATTAAAATACTGCTTGTAATTTATTATTACATTATGATAAATTACATTCAGTCTCCGTAGTTGGATACATGCATGCATACTAAAAATTTGTGTTTTTAATTGATACCAATTTGGTAATGGTTCGATGAAAGGTCACAACAAAACCTTCATCAATCATTCCTCAGAAGCACTTTTGCCACTGGTCTACAGTATGCAGCAAATATTATCAGGGGCATTGGAGTGGCTCTAAAAGGGGGGTCCGGGGGCATGCCCTGTGGAAAAAATTAAAAACTAAAGTCTCTGAAATGCCATTTCCTGCACTTTAGAAGGAGATTTACAAAGTTCTAAAGGTAACAAAATGCCATAAAATATCTCAAATTGTTTTGTCTACATGCGTAACAGAAATAATATCAATTAACTTTGTGGTTTATTATTGACCATTGTTAAAAAGAGGGGGGAGGGGGCAAAGACACTTAGGCCCCCCAACTATAAAAGTGGGGGGCCCCCTGGTCCCTGTTTCTGACGCCACTGAATATTATTACCAGTACCCGATGTCAGATATAATTCTGAAAAGGAAAACTTGTTTAATACATTGAATTGAAGCTATTTTGCTTGCATACAAAATTTGAATATTTGAAATTATTTAAATTACCGTGTCAAAATGATCAACCTTAACATATACTTGTAAAGCAATCAGTAGATGGCCATATCAGTGTTTTGCTCATAAAATGGCAGATCTCCCACTATATTGAACACTCATGCCTATTACAGGTTTTTGATGCAAGCAACTGCTTTTCCTTTGTATATGATGATATGAAAACATTATATGCAGTTGTATCTTGTGAAAGTGGCATAATACAAAATAACCCAGACAGGTAATTTCATGTTATTGTTTTGTTGCAGTAGCTACTGTTTTTTTATTGCTGTTTCGTTGTTGTATACAGAATATGAACACACAAAAAATCATCATACCTGTAAGCCATCACAGAAAAATAATATTAATTGCAACGATTTATTTTCCTAATGTCTAAAGTTTTATTGACATAAACATATTGCATATATTCGTACTGTAGAAAATACATTGCAGGAAATATCCATTATACATACATAAGTGTTATTTTTAAGGTTTTAATGTATTACCCTGCTAACATTAAAGTACTCGATCTAGCTATATAGCCATGCGGTACAATATCGGATATACCTACAATCGTGGATAAAACTGTCAATGAAATTGTTAGAAAGTTTAGGAAAACATGTTCTACTAATTTCATTAGACTTTTTCATTCTTCGCTTTCCAAGTTGCTGTTATTTTTCTCACCCTTAAAACGCATTTGACAACATTGTCTACAGGAAGCAGTATATCTTAGGCCTGTTTCATACGTCGCATTTAATTCAGACGAATTTAATTGAACGAATTAAATGCGACGGTAGTGCATCGTATGAAACGAATTAAATTCGTCCAAGACATTTTATCCGTCATGGTCAGATGGATACAACGTCTGTAGCGCGTCTTCGTTTCATACGACGTGTTATCGCGTCGTGTCGAATTAAATGCATAAATTATGTTTAAAGTCTGTTTCTGTCTTTCTGATCTCGTGGTTTTTATTTCTGGGTAATTAATTCTTCCGAATTAAATTCGTCGTATGAAACAGGCCTTAGGTAAGACACTGAAGAATCATACTACAATTTAACTCTAAAGGCTCATTTCCACCAAAGAAAAATTTCCACGGACAAAAAAGTTTCCGAAATTGTATATCATTGTTAAAAGTTGAAAATTTTCAATTTCAAATTTTTTTCTGACAGAAAATTTGTGACGGCCAATTGGAATAGCGTGTTACAAATTTTGTTTCTGCGGTAGAAATGGGCATTAACAGAGACTATTTAGGATGCCCACTATTGTAGGCTACTCTTACTACTCTAGTCCGTAGCCTCAAGGTTTGCAGTGATGGCCAACTTCTCAATGTACTTTTTCTAGTGTATTCCTAATTGATCACGCCTGGACATACGAGGCGGAATTTGCGCGTGCACAATTAAGAACGATACCAGGCCTGGCCAGAAGAATGGCTTCATTAATGGACCTTATTAAGGATAACGCAGAGCAAACTGTGAATGGTGAAGCTGGATTCCAGAATGATGAAGAGGAAAAAGCATGCCTACAAGAATCTCAAAAGATTTCTTCTTCTGAAGGCTTTTATACTAATGGCGATGGTACTGTACTTTTGCATATATGTTGCATTCATTTTCAATAAGCATTTTTGATTGATAATATTTGGAATAAAATGCAATGCATATTAAGGAGCAGCCAAATTACGCAAAGATTTATTGAGGTAATTAAAATTTCAATCAGGAGTACTTGATATTATTTAAAATTCTCGGAAATCCATTTTATTATTTATTGATAGAATTGTAGAAAATGCTCTGTACAAATAACATGAATTTTTTTTGTTAATAAATAATTATTTATTTTTACAGTGCAATTCTATTGTTTCCATATATACTGTATTTTTAATACTGTATTATAATGAAAGCTAAAGCAAATAAAGAAATCCGTGCTATGCGTACCTCATCCAGCTTATCATAAATTGTTCTCTAAAATTTAAAACCACAAAGTCTTGACTTCTAAGCTTAAAAAGAAAATTGGAATTGTATATGGGTAACGAAGTACTGTATGCATTGTGCATGTGTAATTATGTAAAGTAGAATATATATACCAGTGCTTATATTTCGTATTTATTGCTGTTTCCAGGCAAAGAACTTCCGAAAGAAAATGTGGTAGAACTTATCTTCCAAAATATGTGGAGGTAAGTCGACTGAGTGTACTATAACTTTATCTGAAAATCTATACTAACTACACATGATAATAATAGCCTTGCTTTAGGGTACTGCATGTGTTCAGTTATTGAAAATAATATCTCTAACGTAATAATTTACGCTGTGTATTTTTCTGTTCTGTCCCACTATAGATTTAATCAAACATATCAAGTGAAAGTCATGGTGAGCATAATTTTCTCAAACTGGTTATTTAAAGCAAAAATCAATGGGTGTTCATTAATGATAATAATACACGAATATTTGAACCGGATAGAACACTTCAACAAGAATATGCTGCTACTAGATAGCTTAAGATCTACGACGTCGGTGTCAGCTAGGACGTCAGGGCTAAGCAGAGGACTGGGACTAGGATGTCGTCCTAAATACGTAGATAGCTCAATATCAACGACGTCAAAATATTTAGGGCGGTAAGCGGAAGTAAATTGGTAATAGTTTTTGAAGTGTGCATGTGTGATGTGTCTC